TGATGTGTTATTGATGCGATGTGTTACTCTTATTCAGTAACAATAAGAATAATAATTATTATATCTTTTGAAGTTCAAAATGCCTCTTAAGCAGGAAAAAAAGTAAAAGTTCTACTTATTCCTTTTAACCAAAATATAATTACATGCCTCATATGTCTTTCAAATATATAAAATAGTTAAATGTACTTAGATGTACATAATGAGCAAAGTTTTCCACTTAAAATAATAATGGATCATTTAATTATTTGAATTAGTAATACCAGGCTTGCAGCGACTGGACTTAAGATCATTCTTGTCCCTTACTAAGAATCCAGCTTGTATTTATTTAGCTGTATAATTTCTTGTGTGACATAATGTGCTTGGTTTTCAGCCTTGAGTTTTTATAAAGCGTTATACGATGATGCTTGTGTTAGTGAAAATGTGAGTCAGTGAAGAAGTTATTTGCTAATATGAGTAAAAGAAAACCAGAATTCTTTCTTTGCAAATTGATATTACATACTTTAATGTTTTATCATTATCCATAGGCTGTTTTTATTTAAGTGACTGCATTGTGCTTATTGTAGCAAAATACATGCTTTGCAAAGATAAGTTTAGCAAAAGAGAATTAATTTCTTCCCACATCTTTTAATGTGGCATGGCAGTCTCACTCTACGATCAAAACACATAACTGAAGGTTGTGTTTAATTTCTAAATCAAAGTGTTGTGGGAAGATGATTGAAATCTGAAGATGACTCAGATCCACTTGATATGTGGTTTTCTTCCTACAGAAATCTTATGGTAGACTGCCATTTCCATGTTAGAAGGAACCTAATAGTGATGAGATTGAAACAAATAGTTTCACTATATACTGAAAGTTTATGTTAGTTTCTTTGATTCTTACTCTGAATTTTTTAAAAGAACTTTGAGAGCTTCAGTAACAGGCATCTTTTCCCCGCACCCACAATATCTTTTTTTAAACTATGAGTACAAAGAAGTGACCAATGTGTTTCACTGACAAACACCGAAATTTTTTTTTTTTGGACAGTTGGCAATTCTTTTTTTTTTTTTTTTTTTTTTTTTTTTTTTTTTTTACCAAAAATATAATTTAACCAGTTAGGTCTTTGCCTATACAGAATTCTTCATGTACTTCAAAGGGTAAATTAAGATTATATGACTGCATCAGCTGTATCAGATGATTTTTGTGAGGCATGGTAAAATGTAATTGTGACATATCTCCTCCTTCACCAAAGTGAACTTGTTCGTTTTATTTTTATTTCCTAAAGAAATCCTACAAAATACTAACCTAGAACTGAAATGGATTTTTCTTAGGTGTTTTAAAAATAGAAATAGCAAATTGTGTCCCTGTGTCTGGATTTCTGTCATTGTCCCTTATCTGAACCTCTCAAAAACCTCTCTGTGTGTGGTGTGCAGCACAGCACACTCAGACAGTTCTGCTCAGAGAAGGAAGTGAAGAGTTTTGGTTCCCATTTTACACTTCTGGAACAGTTTAGGGAAGGAAGCACCTTTACACCTTTTATTGTTCGTGGTTGCTGACATCATATCCTTCCCTGACCAGTCTGTGCGTGTTTCCTGCCATTCTGTCAAGATTCTTCTGTGTTACAGGGAGGGATTTGTGGGAGGGAGGGAGAGAGGGAGGAAGAGAGCAAGAAAGAGTGAGGCAGGGAAGGGGGGAGGAGGAGTGTGTCACTCAAGGGAACTTGTTTGTAAATGAGAGAGCTGGGGTGGGAGAAAGATCTTTAGCATCTGTCCACAAGAAATTCTTCTCTACTTGGGTCTCAAAACCACTTTGCCTTCATCTGTTTGCTTATGCCAAACTCAAAGTGAACAGAAGCCTGCCATAATGAAGTTCCCCTTTTTAGTAAGCAGCCTGATTTTATTTTTCTTATATTTAGGTTGACAAAAAGAAAAAAAAATGCAGAAGACTGTAGCTCTATAGAGTGTAACTGTGGTAGAGCATTTCTTTTTCTTTTTTTAATTACTGATTGTTTCTATGTAGCTCTGTCATTTTCCAAGAATGCTTCTTTCATGTGGAAAGAAGTAGCGGCAAGGCTGCTGGAATTATTTTAAGCTTATGGTTGATTGTACATAATGAAAGTTCTCAGCATAACTTGAAATTCTACTACGTGTAGTTTAGCTATTCTTTTCTTCATATACATACAAAACAATTTTTAAAACTGCTTAAGTTATTTAATCTCTTTTTCAGCTTCTCTGGGCTTCCTACAAATTAATACTTGAAACTGACCTTACAAGATAATTTTTGCATAAAAAAAAAATCAGCTTAGAGAAGTAGCTATGCTAAGAAAACAACTACTGAGCTATTGTTGACCTTCCTAACTCTTTGAATTTTTACTGACAGCCTTGAAATGTGGTGATCCATAATCAAATGCTCTAAGCCACGTTTCGTGACATATTTTACTTCATAAAAAAGTCGCATCATCACCGTGTAGTATTCTGCATATGTACATAATAATATCAAGTTTTGCATTTTAAAAATGTTCAGAAGGCAACCCTTCGAGAAATACTCATTTTTATGGAAAACAAGAAAATATTTTAATTTTACTGAAATTTAAGCTTGTTTCTCTTTACATTACCTTGCATATTTCAAGAAGGAAAATACATCCAATGGTATTTTCACCAACTATTTTATATATATATTCGATAAATGCATATACGTTTTTTTCAGGCAAAATATTTCCCATCCTTTCTTAAGAGTTAAAAAAAATCCTTGCTCTGCTCTTTTTAAAAAGCGTCTCTCCAAGTTGTGAAATATGGGGTGGTGATGTGTAGGAACTCTTCTAAGTTTGGCTCATGAGGAGTTCTCCCTCTGCCTTTCTGAAGAGACTTTTCTCAGAGGGATGCATCTCTGCTTGGTTGGTTATTTGTATTTTGAAACCAGGATCTGTAGAAGTTCTCGTCTTCCCCGCCTTGTCACCACACTCTAATCTGTTCACCCTGACCTTCCACCTTAAAGTGAATAAGCGCTTAGGCAGGCATAGTCCTGTAAGCCGATAGTGCCACCGGCCTCAGCTAAATGAAAAGAAAGGAAATTGTCCCATATGCGTTTGCTGTGGATTCATGGGTTGGCTTTGCTGTGATAGAGGAAGCCTGTTTGTCTCTTTGGGGTCTTGCACATGCATGGGAAATGCCATTCTAACGTGCCGCTTGCTTCTAAGGTAAGACTATAGGAAACACAGGAAAGTTGCCCAGTTGAGTGATATTTAAGACAGTTTCTAAAAATAGATAGATGGGGCAGTGTTTGGCAACAGTGAATATGTAATGCAGTTGTGTTCTGTGAATGTTTCATATTTTAAGGTGATTTGAATGTCTTATTGTAGCTAAGTTTTTCATGTGTATTTGTCAAATGTGTGTTATTTATGTAACTCTTTAAAACTTTTGAACTACTTCCAACATTTAAAATTACCGCTGGAGTAATAATTTTTGATGAGCACTGTGTGGTCATGATGTTACTCAACATATATAGTATTCCCAAAGGTACAACTGAGCTGCAGCTTCATAGAAAGGCATTGGGCAAAAGAGGATGGATGGTCTTAGTATTTAAGCAGCACTTAATCCACCAGAACTAATTATATCATAATAGCTTCTGCAATTAGATAATCACAGAAAATTTTAATTTAAAGAAATTTACTCAAGGTGATAAAGAATTTAGAAATTAAAGAAATCAAAAGACAGCTGATGATCAGACCAAGTGTTTAACAGCTTTCCTGTTTCAATACCTTTGAATTGGAGCCAAATAATCTATTAAATAGCCAGGACATTGGCTTAGCATTACATAATACATGTGGGAATTTCTCAGGTCCCTTGTCAGACACCGACTAAAACAGGGAAATTCTGAGCAATGTGTAAAGTAGTTGCATTCTTTGACATAAGACTGGATAGAATAATTGAAGCTGTTGCTTACAAATGAAGAATCCAATGTGGAATGATTTCTTGTTAACTTCCACATTTCACGGCAATTCGTTTTCATTATGTTCAAATGTTTTCAGATATAATTTAAAACAAAGTAAAATATATACTTTTAATACTCGGTTTCTCTGGGTTTATTTTATATTATCGATGATTGTTTCTTTAATTTTAATTCATGACCTAAAGATATCTAGTATATAATATGAGACTTCTGTAATTTTGTATCTTACTCCCCAAAGACATATGAGATGTCTTTTTAAAATTTTTAAATTTAGAGAACTGATAGCTTATTATAAAAAGTGTAGTTATTTTTTTTAAAGAGTATCATTACAAATGGAGTAATACTCTAATTTTTTGCACCATTTCTTTTCGGTGAATGATTATCTTTTTTGATTCTTGTATTCAAGATACAGCTTATGGGCTTTCAAGAGGAAAAGGAGATCTCACTGCTGATAGCTGCTTATTATGTAAGATTAAATATCCCAAATTATTTTTACAGTGTTCTCAGAGCAGTGACTTTTAAAAAATAAGATTAAAGGATTTAGATTTAAATTAGTTGACATTTACATATATCAAATAGCACTTTCATAATAGTCCATCCTATTTGCATAACGAGGGACGTTATCACCTCTGCTGTCAAAACACGAGATTGTTTTCCCTTCAAAAATGAATTAGCTGCCCTACTTAGCATACACAGGTATATAAAGGTTCATTAACTCTCTGATTTAGGTAATTTTTCATAATAGAAGGGTGAAAATAGTCACCTAATTTCATTAAAAAATATTAAGGAACTCGTTGCAAAAGATACATTTCAAGTGTTGGGCTTTGAAGTATAGTTTTTGTCATTTAAATGACTTGTTAAATTACTTATGAGATTATTTTAATTATAAAAACAAACTGTTCCTATTTGATATGCTCCTGCATGGGATATACCATGTGCTTTTAGTACTTATTCTCATTCATTCGATTGGCTTACTTTCATATAGTTCTCTTTTTTAAAAAAGTAGAATATGATCTTTCTTATGAAACTGCCTTTCTGTTAAAGTGGTATTTAATTTTTCTCTTTTGTCCAGCAGGAACGAATGCAGGAATTTGGGAACTGAGCAGTGCAAGTGCTGAAGAAGGAGATTTGTTTGGAGGAAAAAGGAAAGAGAAAGAAAAGGAAGGAAAAAATACATAATTTCAGGGACGAGAGAGAGAAGAAAAACGGGGACTATGGGGAGAAAAAAGATTCAGATTACGAGGATTATGGATGAACGTAACAGACAGGTGAGTGGGGTAAACTTTTTCCTGTATCATTATTTACATAGAGTCTTACATTTTCCCTGGATATCTTAAAGATACTGAAAACATTTTGAAGTTATAAACATCCATTAAGAGTTTCAGTGAATTAAATGTGGCCAGTTTAAATGCTAATATTCTATCCTATGTAAAGGGAAAAAAATCACCTTATTATCTATTAGACAAACAGTTTACACATTCATGATTGTTCACTTTTTATTTCTACATAAATTTTGAACGGAAACTGTACTTGTATAACATGAATAGCTTAATAATTAAGAGTTAATAAGCATAACATTGCTACATTGCACGCATCATCAAACAAAGATATTCTTATATTCATGGGAAAGAGGCCTTTTGTGGTCATCCACTTAAAGGTTTAGAATATAGGCTTATAAAAATGGCTCTCAGTGTATTCACAGTAAAAAAGACTTTCAAATATATTCAAAATATTTAACATTGTGCTGACAACAACAAATACCCTCACAAAATATTAGTAACTTAAAACATGTAGACAAAAGCTATTAGTTAATTCATACTGTTTTCTTTACACCATGGATTTTATAAACAAAGAGGCAGATGATGCTATATTTTTTTTCTACAACTCCAATGATAATGCTGTATGATACCATTAATCTCTCTTAAAGATTTTATGTATCCAAATACCCTATTCAACAAAGACTTGTATATCATGTATATCATGAATATCTGTGATTTGACTATTTTTCTTCACACGTGGGGAGAGTGCATTTAGTTAGGTGATATAAGGATAGCTGGATGGTTTGTATGCATTCTAATGTTAAGTAACAAACAATGGTTCCTGAGAGAAATTACAGTACTGCCAAATCTCAATCCTTACAAATGAATAATGGAACCTGCCAGCAGGTATTCTTTGACCATGGGAGAGAAGAATATTTTGCCTGTTGCCCATCTACTCTGGGAAAAGCTAAGAGGATATAGCCTTAGAGATGCCCTCACAGACTAATTTCCCCCAAATAAAGACATTCTATCTCTCCGATTGTCCTTTTCTGTCTTCTTGGAACTGCAAGTGAGACTGGAACTGACTTGTGGTTTAATTTTTTTTTATGTTTTTTTCCAGTTTTATTGAGAAGTAATTGACATACATCACTGTATAATTTTAAGGCATACATTGGATTGGCTTGATTTACATATATTGTAAAATGATTACTACAATAGGTTCAGCTAATGTCCATCATCTCATAGAGATACAATAAAAAGAAAGAAGAAAAAGGAAAAAAATTTCTTCTTGTGATGAGGACTCTTAGGATTTACTCTCTTAGCAACATTCTTTTATGTTGTATAATGGTGTTAACTATGGTCACCATGCTGTACATTACATCCCTGCTATGTATTTGTCTTGTAACTGGAAGTTCGTATCTTTTGACCGCCTTCATCTATTTCTCCCTCTTCCCACCCTCCACATCTGGTAATCACGAGTCTGATATCTTTTGGTGAGTTTGTTTGGTTTTTAGATTCTACATATAAATGAGGTCATGCAGTCTTTTCTTTGTCTGACTTACATCACTTAACACAATGCCTTCAGGATCCATACATGCCATGTTGTAGCAAATGGTAGGATTCCCTCTTTTATGACTGCATAATATTCCTGTGTGTGTATGTGTGTATGTGTGTAATCACTTCTTCATTCATTCATTGGACACTTAGGTTGTTACCTGTGTAAATTATAATGAACAGAAGTTTAGTTATGCCATCAAAACTGATATGTAATTAAAAGATAAACCTTAGATTTTCAAGTTTATACCTCCCTTAAATTATTATATTTAAGGTACATATAACTTGAACTATTTTTGACTGAATTGAGCTAAAGGATAAAGTTTTATGATAGATTTCTTCATTCTTTTCCTACACATTATTTATTACTCTGGATTAAGCTAAAAAGCAGTAATTCTGTCAATATAAAACCACAATATTTTTAGTTGGCATATAACTTGAAATTGAAATTAAGACTGAAATATTGAACACCATGTACAATTGACTCTTTAGACCTTGTTATTTGGACTAGAATCTGTTTTTGAGTGCAGTCAAAAATTATATGAATTAGCACCTACATTTCATTAATAATACCAGGTAATTTTTAGGTTCATGAAATTCATTGTATCTTCTTTTTGCTTAAAAAAAGAGAGGAAAATTTTTGCAGGTTAAATTCCAGAGCTTTCATTATGCTTTATAAAGGAACATATAACTCACACAGGGATGCAGGAATTTTAACACATATTTTTCAGCTAATAACTGAACATCTTTTCTTAATTTAAATATGGTTGTGTCTACAATTGCTGTTACTCTCATCCATGTCAGAAGTCATAATAACTTTAGGAGAAGAAAAAGTTGTTTAAATTTAGTTCAATTTAGATTACTTTTTTAATCTTGAAGATGAATTTCTTGATTTTATTCTATAGAAATTTAAGATCTATGTAGTCTTCTCCATACTTTAGATTCAGCAGGCCCTTCACTCATACTCTTAAATCTAATTAGTATGTTTTGGTGTATATTTCAATGATTATTTTAGGTGGCCATTGACGTTCAAATATCCATTTTATTTGTAAATGTTTGTTTTGTGCACCACTTACTTACTACAAGAGTGATCATGAGAGCCTAAAAGATGTAGGTCACTTCTATAATCAACACTAGCAAATCTGCAGGAGCAAATCATCCCAAGTGTGGAGGCACCCCTAGCCTGGGCTTCCTTTATGTGTTCACATGTTGAAAAGAAAAATGTTAAACATTTTGCTTTTTTTGAATCTTCCCCCACTGCAGTCCGTAATAGAACCTCACACAGTGGTTCACTGTCGTCTTTTCTTAAAAAGTAGTAAAAGCCTGCTCTGCCTTTGCAGGTGTTTATTTGGCTATACAGAAAACAGGGTGTGTTTTTACAGAATAAGAAATAGAAAAGAAACTTAAAAGTGTAAAATGCAATATTACAAAGCCGATGTATAAGTTGAATATCATTAAGAACCAACACTGCTATAAAACAGAGCAGCTAACTGTTTAAATTGAATTTTGCCCTTACTCTACCATTCATAATGGAAGGAGGGAGAACAGCTTAAACAGAAACTCCAGTTATATACATAATATAGTTTAAAGAAGGAAAAAAATTAACAACTTTTTTATTGTTAAAAATTTGTCCAGATTTTCTGAGTTTATGGAGAATCCTCTTTCTCCATTTCTAACTTAAACTGAATGGATTTCTTAAGCTAGTATGTAAAAATAAATAAAATAATGAATTTTTAATTTATCCTAAGGATTCTAAGTTAACTTAATAAAAGTAGCAAAGTTTACCAAGAATTACATATGTATTATTTCATTTAATTCTTATTAACCCCATTTACAGCTGAATACTTCATGTATTTATTAAATCAACAAATATTATTAGATTGCAATGTGCCTAACATTAAGTATTCAGTGATAAACCAGATGAATCTCATACAGGTTATCATCTGCCACAGAAGTCAGCAAACTTTTTCTCTAAAGGGCCAGATAGCAAATATTTTTGACCTTGTGCCACACAGTCTTAGTCTCAACTACTCACCTCTGCCCTAGTCATGGATGCAGCCATGGACAACGTGTAAATGAATGAATGTGTGTGTATTTGAATAAAACTTTACTGACAAAAATGGGACAAACTTAGTGGATCCCTGGCTTAGTGGGATGAAGCAGACATGTGACATATAAATATATAAGTGTTGTAAATAATGTGCTATGACTGAAATTATCAAAGTGCTATCAAAGTATAACAAGAGGTGCTTTATTTAGATTGAGGATTGGATAAAAGGTCTCTCTGAGGAAATGCTAAAAGATGTGAACTAAAACATGAGTCAGAGTTAGGCAGGTGACAACATTCCAGATGGAACAATATTTGCAAAGCTCCTTAAGAACGGAAAGAGCTTGCTAGGGAGCCAAGGGAAAGCTCGTGGAACTTGAGTCTGGTGTGTATGACTTTAGAGAGATGAGAGAAAAGATTAGATGCTAGGCAGGGCCCAGATCATACAAAGCTTTGAAGTCAGATAGTAATACTAGGTGGTGGCCAAGATTTGGAGCCCACATCTTCCAGATTAAAAAAAAAAAAAAAAAAAAAAAAAAAAAAAAACGTGCTTTTCTCAATTATGTCATGCTGCATCCTGTATAATATAATAGCTGAGAACATGGTTTTATGTCTTTGCTTTTCCTAATTACATCATACTGCATGCAGGATAACTTAATGGTGAAGAGCATGGTTTTTAGGCACACATGAACCTAGCTTTGGTCCCAGGTCTGTCACCAGCTAGTTGTATAACCCTCCAGCAAGTGACTTAATTCCTCTGAGCTTTATCAGTTCCCTCATCAGTAGAGTAAGGGTTAAAAAATAGTACCCAGCTCATTGGGATAATTAAATTAGGGGATAAATATAAAGCATCTAGCATTTAATAAATGCCCAATAAATGTACCTATTAGCTATTCCTGTTAAGACTTAGGCTCTTTAAACCATAAGCTGTTATAAGTTAATGTGACTTCCATCAAAACAACTCCTGTGCTGTGTAGCACCCTAAAGAGTGGTAACTGAACCTTCATTTCAAGAGGGTTTTACCTTTAAAAGACTATCAGGGAGCTAGAAGGAAAAGTGGAACAGAGCAGAGCAGGAGCGCAAAGGAGCCTTTGCAAGCTCACAAGGGGCGAGAGAATCCTTTCAGAGCAGGAGCAGCTGATGGCAGAGGATGGCTTGCGGACCTGAAGGAAAATCATAGACATTTGCAGAGCAGGGCTTGTGACAAAGATGGGAAGAAGTAGTGTTCTAAGTTCTATGCTTGTGGGACTTACTTTCAAATGTATGTTACTGATCAAGGTATTTTGAACTACTTATCACCATTTCTATCACTTCCAACTTTCAGCTTATTTTAAACCACAATTTCAATGATTCTTTGTTTTTACTCCTTATGTACCTCCAGCAATCAGGCAGTAATGTTACCCTCCTT